AGATAAAGCCATTATCATCCTTTCCAAGTTTGTTTACGAAAATTTTCTGCTTGAGTTGTCGCCTTGTTTATAAATGAAATGAACAACAAATAACATTTAGATTTTTAAAAAATATTTATATATATTTTTTTATTTTTATCGGGATCTAAACTATGTGATGCCATCGCTAATTGTGCATCGATTTTGATAATTATTTAATTGTTATTACTGTGTTGATATTATATTAACTGCAACGATTAATAATAATTTACTGTTGAACAAAATTTCAATTATTCGAATTTTTGTCATCGTATACAATTTTAAGTTTGTTTATTTGTATCAAGTAGGGTCTTTAGATTATTGAAGTTGTCGGAGTTAGTGATGAACTAACGAGACTGATGATAGATGTTCTATATACTTAATATGGAGTAACAAACAATAGATTTTGTCTTATCATTACACGTAAATCTAAATAAATCTTTATCTTAACTAATATTATAAATGTGAAAGTAATAAATATGACGTATACAACGTATGTATTATTAGTAGCAATTAATACATTTTAAGCATTTAATATTGGTTGTGACTTCAGATGTTAGTCGCTTGCTTCCTTATAACACAAGACATCCTAGCTCAAGGACCAAACTGCTCTTATGATTGTGTGACATTCATTATTATTAGATAATCACGTCTATCAACATGCATTTTAAACATTTATAAATGTTATTACTTTTATAATTCTATCGTTTATTTTAGAAAGGAGCCAAGAGGAACGAATAAGAATCTTAACTCTTGTTTCATTTAATTAAGTATTTCTTTATATTCTGCTAGATATATTCTTCTTTATGCCAAATACTACGTGTGTACCAAATTCCATGACGATTTGTAGGGCCATTAAAGTGCCAAGAAATAACAAACAAACAAATTAACATTGATAAGGATTTAGTATTATTTATTTTTTCTTTTGTTATTTACAAAATACCTACAGTACAAATAAAAGTTACTGGAAATAAGCAGTGATGTTATAGTTCAGGTGTTCTCAGCATCTAAATTGCAACTGTTTGCAATTTAGAGCGTTGGAACACAATTGTAACTGTAGTACGTATTGTTATGAAGCACTATTACGTATTTTGTGGTATTGTGTTCCAAATTTCCGGTCACTACCTATAAATCCATTTTAACACGAACAATACGTTCTTAGACAAAGCGAGGGAGCCAAGAGTTATTGTTTCAAAGGAAGAAAGACTGATTATAGGGTTTCATTATTAGAAATATAATATCCGATCTGGACAGTATGTAAAAGGCCATTAGCCTCATCAGTGTTGTTAATGGTAATTCAATATTATGGATTAAATAAGACAAATATAACCTAATATATCCGTGACGTTCATCATTGACAATTATGGTCCCATTATTGGAAATATGTTGGAAGACCTACAACATAAAATGAGGATATTTTTTTGGAATGATAACCCTGCCTGTGCTATCGGTATACGCTAGCGGGCACCAGTGAGGGGTAAAATGTGAGATTGAAAAGGTTAGTTAGTCTATCGTAATGAATACATCTGGAATTCAGCACAATGCTTTCCAATGGGGACCACGTGGAGGTCACCTAACAGGGTATATTGCTAGCAATGGGACTAGTACGCATTACTAACAATCTCTTCCCCTCCCCTTCATGAGGATATTTGAGTAATTTTATACTTATATATGCAAGTAAGACTGCAGCACGGGGTTCTCCAAAAAAAAAGAGTAAAGACGTTTTTTCATGGTCAGCAACGTGCACTTAATACCTCTGGTATTGCAGGTGTTCGTAGACTATGGTAACCGATTACCATCAGGTGGGCCTTATACAAACAATGCCATATGAGTGATATAAAAAAAAGTATGGAAAATGGTACATATTTTTTATTCGACTATGCTAAAATTTCCAAACGGATTTGAATGAAATTTGGTACACAGATCATGTCTTAATATTAACATAAAGTATACTTTTCTATTTTTTTTATTATGTATTATTATTGAAAATAAAGGTAACCCGTAAAATACGGGGTATTTGGCAATCTTAATTCTCCATAAGTGAAGAAATAATATATGCATTGTTTTGTTTCATTATGAATGTAAGAGCGTGAAGTTTAACTTGCTGGAAAATAGGGGTGGGCGTAATGCACGGGTAATACACAAATTCCTAGAAAACAGTCCTTTATTTAAGTAATAAACTTGAAGTTTTCTGTTTAAGCTTTCCTGATTTTGTACTTTTGATTGTTGATAATCCATTAATGTTTAATTTTACTCGCCGGATTTTTTTTTAAATGCGTAATTAAAATTTATAAATAATTTAATACTTCCCGTTCAGTTATTAGTAGGTATTGTTACATTCATTATACTCTTTTAAAACATTAGAACTCTGTTATATTATTATGTTACAGTTTATATTTTAAAAGAATATAAATTGCTTCGGGTCTCATTATGTAAAATCCGAGGATCCGCAACTGTGGCACGTATCAGCCGCTATATACCTTCCTACATCTCGGACATATTTTCACACTTTGCTTGCAATATCGAAGTAGGTATTAAAATAAATTTCGTTGGAATTCAAAGCTGAGAATTTATAAATATATTTTGCTCTGCAAAAAGTAGCAAGTTCAATGATGACAAAATTTATTTATTGATTCATTACACAATGTATTGTCAATCGTTACGACTTTCATCAATTCACATAACGAAGTCTTACATGTTTTTTTTTTACATGATGTACAATATTTTTTGTATTATTTAATTAGTCATAAGAAATTAATTATGCTCCTATCCTGTAAATCGCCTCACAATCGAATAGGTCTACTTGTAGATGCTTATTAAGTATATTGTTAAGAAGACGTTCGTTAAATTTTAACTAATAACATTATTATTCATATTTAATTCATTAATATGAATATATATATATATATATATATATATATATATATATATATATATATATATGTATATATGTATATATATATATATATATATATAATTAAAACGAATTAAAATGCTTCAATCGATGACAAAAACATAGATGGTTTCATTTGCATTTCTAATACAGTTACTTGTTGGTTATAATAATATACATATATGTATTTATTTATTTATTTAACATATTACGTGTATGTTTATATTAGTCCAATTATATGTTTATAATGCATGAATATATTAAGTATTACTTTTTATAATTCCTCAACTCAATAATGCATTGCCTACTTGTTTCTCGGTTTGCCTAATGGTTGACTAGTATAGAACACGGTGTGGTATTAAGTCCGCCATATGTACATAGAGTTTCACTGTGCATTAAAGTTTAAATAAATAAATTGTAAAAAAAGTTACTTTAGTCATAACAAATTATGTGACCAAGAAACAATTGATTGGAATAAAGAATAATCTTCAGATGCATTACTATAACATATACAATCATAAACACGAATTATTTATTAATTATATTTGACAGATTTCGGACAGTCACGTGGTTAACAAGCGTCTTCACATTATCATACAATTGTTAAACAGTTACAGGTAAATTGCGATACTACTTATAGATAAATTTTCTGAGCACTTAATACAGGATAATTAGGCATTCTTATACCCCATTATCCTTTTGGGATAATTATCGTGACCACGCTTGCAATGGAGATAATCACGGTATTACGTTTTATTCAGCTAACGCTGCAATGCTAGAGTTTTCCCTTTACTCGCTTTTTGAAGCGAAATAAGCAGGTTCCGTAATAAGCAGAAAGTTTACAGGTAGGTACAATTAATTTTTTTTTTTTATGATACTTAGAATGGTAAACGAGCTGTTTGATGGATAGTGGTAATCGTCGGCTATAGACATGAATAGTGTTATGCTCACGCCCACTATTATACCCATGGTACCTTTCATGCGTTGCCATTCCTTAGGAATACCAATTTCCTTGTTAAGTTCATTGCTATATTCCACATGAGTCGGGAAAAGTTACCCATGCAGAAGACTTATGTACATAATCTAGTTTTATTTTCTTTCTGTGAATTAATGAATGTAAATACTTTTATTTAAAATTTGTTCATTAGTTTGAAATGAATATACACAAAAACTACATAATCAATTTTAAAAATTCTTTCACCTATAGAAAGCTATATTATCAGCGGTTACCATAGGCTATATTATATTTTAAACAAAATAGGAATATTTACGAAAATCACAATAATATAACCCATAATATCAAAAGTTTGCCTATTAAAGATAATATAAAGTATTAATAATTTATCTATCTACTCGTGCGAAGCAAGGAGTGGATCGCTAGTAAATAATAAAAGAATATAAGCAATAGATATAACAGATACACTTGCATAAATACAATAAGGTGGTCTTATCTTTCAACAGAAAGCAATCAAGATGACCTCATTGTTGTATGAATATCTATTATAAAATATTATAAAATATATAATATTATTAAATTTTAATGGAATGGGATTACTCTTATTAATTAATGTATTTAGAAAGGGTAAGAGTAAAATCTGTTTGATTTTCAAATAATTTGATTACCATTTTGAATAGGATTGCATTTATGAAATAAAATACTCAACGAAATATTATTATTAATATTATTTTAACCTTTGTTGAGTAACATTAAAACCCGATTGTGGTTTTATTATAATTTCATTTCATTAAGTTGTATTCAGTTTTTGATTAAGGGGTATATCATCTCGGCATTTATTATTTTATATACAAGTTTTTAATCGAGACTTTGTCGGAGTGAACGATATATATATCAATCGATTGACCGATATATTTTAAAAACAGTCATATATTAATGTCATTACAATAAATTTCTAACGTAGGTAGTATATAAATTGCTCAGACTCATTATTAGGTCAATCAGGACATGGTAACCTTCATTATATATAAAAAAAAAAAATTCGTCAATATTAATAACTGTCGATTGTACTTTATTTTTATTATTTCAGCCGTTAATTGTCCACTGTTGGATATAAGCCTTCCTCGTAAGCGGAGATTTGCCAGTAGTTGCCATGCTTGGCGGACGGGTTAGCAACCGCAGTTAGGCTTTTAAAGATGTTTTAAGAGGGACGCTGCTGCCCATCACGACACTCACATGAAAGGAAGGGTGGCTCATACTATACCGAGGCAGACGAGAGCGAATACTTTATTAGTAGCTGGTAAATATAGTTATATTAGTAGTAGTAATTATAAATAACAATCACTTTATTTATTTTGTTTAGTTTGTGTTTACTTAGTCTATATAGAGAGCTGGATGTCTAGAAGTTAAAGCTTTCTGTAATTAAATAAAATATTTATATTGTAAATATGTGTGTATCATTTCATGAAAAGACGCCATTTTTGTTTACGTACGTTGTTGTTTTGTAGTAACTTAGAATTATTACAAGAATTATGTAAAATTGTGTTGAAAATGTGTGTTGTGTGTTGTAATATTTGTTAGATATTTATTGCCACTCGAGTATTCAATATATCAACAATTTATATAAGAGAGGGACTCTCTTTTTGAAATTTTTCTTACAACGTCTATATTTTAATATACTAATTTTGAAAATCAAGTTTTTCTTTTGTAATATATTTTTCTAATATTTAAGAAAACGAGCTTAACATGCCTCACAATTTTGTATAATTTTCTGTGATATTTTTAGACGTAAATCATACATTCAAAACCTGTGTGGGATCATTGGGAAAGGAAGTAAACAACCATTATGTAGAGACGATAAAATTACATAGCTATACGTGTTTATCCTCTGATTGTATTCTGGAGTTCTGTAATATTTGGTATACTTGTAATAATTTATACATATTGTATGTAAATACATATATAACTTTAACTATAAATAGCATGAAAATATATAATACTAATAGCTAAATAAGAATATTGATACATTTGTTGCATTAAAATTTTCTTATTGCAATTTTAAAAATTCTAGAAAAGACATATTCTGTTTATTTATTAGCATTGGGAAACCACGCAGGTTAACGCTAAATATGTACATTGAGACTATATTTCAATATTTATTAATATTATACAACAAGTATTATTTTTACTTTACGCTTAATATTATCCTGTACATCGGTGGGAAGTTCGTTAATTAGTCGAGTGACTAGAACGGCTAATTATTAAGTCGAACGTTCATCTTAACAGTTATTTGCGCAAGTGCTTTTAGTACAAAGTCGTTGCCGCGCGACCGTTTGTATGTATATAGCAGGATTAATTGCATTCTAATATTTTTTGTTAAACAAATTCTCCTTAAGCAATGTATATTTATAAATTGTAGGTGTACAGGTAAAATATTGCAATGTTGAAAAAGGCCAATTACGTCTTTATTTCGAAAAGTCGATAGAAACTTTTGAGTATTATATATTATATCTAATTTTAATTTTCAATAAAATTTATTAAAACATTCTTGGAAGAAAAGAGTCAAGATGGCATTCTTGATCTAGGCGGGGACAAAGGACGATAAACGTTTTGGAGAGTGGGTAACTCGATTGTTCGAGATTCCTTTTCATAACTTAAGTAATAGGACATCGTTTCAGAAGCTGAATTAACTGTTTGAGGGACTCACAAATTAGGTATTCCGTCGGTTTAGTCGTTTGACTTATTTTAAATAGGCATTTTACTAAAAATATGCTGTTATAGTTTGGCACGAAACGACTTTGTTCCCTGTTAAATAATTTTATTTTATTTTCTTGTAATCTTCTATGAAAATATTTCTTGTTATATTATTAAAATGTTATTAAAGTACGAAAAAGATATTTTCAGTATAAGTATTGTGTGGAAAATTTCAAAACGGGCGGGATTTGAATGTTTAATTTATGTTATTATATTTTTTTCTAAATAGAAAAAATATTAGAATATGATTTAGAAATTTTAATATTATTTCTAATTCACGAGAGTTATTTTATCACCTTATGAATACAGATCCCTAGTGCGCTGACGTTAATGAAGCTATTATTAAGCTGCGTTTGACGTGATTTCAATAAACGGTCGAGAAAGTTGCCGGCCACCTATCGGAGACAACAAACGCACCCTACGCCTTGAGATGCAACGCAACTATGTGTTTTCGAATCAATTATCTTAAAAAATGTACAGGTATTTTAATTAATTGTATTAAAATAGGAATGAAGGATTTTGTTTTTTTTTAGTTATATAAGAAAAAAATATGTAAAATTTTTGTGGCAACCTGTAGTATCCGTTTAATAAGTCATAATTCTTTTTATAACGTATGCTTTCATAATACAGACTATGTTAGATTTGAGAATATTAAAGAGTATATATTGTAGGCGTAAACTGCTCATCTCACACGTTTCTAATATTATAAATGTGCAAGTGAGTTTGTTTGTTTGTTACCTCATACCACCCGAACAGCTTACTCAGTCACTATAAAATTTGGTATAGGATCGAAAAGGACATAGGTTCCTTTTTATCCCGGTCAGTTTATAAATCTTTGTCGCGCGGATGAAGACAAAACACTAAAATATTTTAATAAAAAAATAAACAATATATAAATAAATATTAAGGAGTAAATATATAATTTTTTAACATATTAGGATTGGTAGATAGTCATAATATAATACCAGCGATACATATTTTTACCATCATTATTGTGTAACGTTAAATATATATATTATAATATATCCTTGTTCCTTATTTACAAAGTAAAATATATAAATAAATATATACAATTATATAAAGAGTGAGACTCCAACATATTACCTGTTCCACTAGGTACAAGTGATATAAAATCCCACCGACCCTTTTTATCCGTAAAGTCCATTATTTAAAGAAGATTTTGGGCATCGGTAATATAGAGAAAATTAAGTATTATACTTTATGAGATGCGCAAATCATGTCCGGAAATGGGTCGAACATGGAAGAGTTCCATTGCTTAAAGAAACTATGTCTTGTAAACATGTTCGCGAAATTATCTAATTCTACTGATTCCTTAACCTATAACAGTTTTATAGTTCCATATTTCTGTGCCTCTAGTGAGAAAGGGTTCAATTCAAAATGGTCACTTTTCAGGAGAGCCAAAAAACTATTTTAAATAAAGAAAAAAAATTCTGCTGCTTTTATTATTTGCTAATTGAACAAGTCAATGATTGCATTTATAGTAATTTTTTCTCCTCTTTCTTATGAAATTGTCGGTTTTTGTGTAAAACCTATAGTTTTAACAATAATTCTATTATACCTAATCACACTTAACAAAAATATTAAAATTATGATGTGAAAATAGTTTTAAGTTGAATTAAAACGATTTTATTGAAGTATTGAAGAAAAACAATGTTGTGTATTTTACGCTATAAAAAAATAATCGCTATTAAATGGTGTAAAAGGGTTCAAATCGAACTGATTCATTTTACAAAAATAATTTTTGTAAAATATTGTAGTTTTATTTCTAATTATGACTTTTTTACCACAAATATTTTGTTAATTGTAGCCTTTTACATGTTTACTATCTCTATTGTTTTTAAAGATATCGTTACGATTCTTATACCATTCGAAAGAGAAAAATTTGCTTATTTAAAGTAGCCTAAAAAAGAAAAAGGCTATAACTTGAGTTATATCCTTTCTCACTAGAGGCACAGATTTAATGATTTAATCCAGTTTAACGGACATGTTGTTTGAACATGGACATGACAACATAGCTATAGTGCAAAAAGAAATTTCATTTATATTAATTCATTGATACAAAATTTAATTCTTTTAATGTTCTGTAAGAAATAATGTACCTACAAAATTAAATATATAAATCTTTAGTAACGCCAGTGAAATATTTCAAGATAATGTTAAAAAAGATATTAAGATCCGGAGAGCGTTTGGACATGACTGGAGTTGTATCATTTCAGTACAAAGTTCTTGGAACTATTCCGATCAGGAAATCACGTGTCTATTATTTGCTCTAAGGATACAACAAGTATCACATTTTCCGGAGCTTATGTAGAAAAAATAAAAAGGTTCAAACAGCCTACGGGTTCGCAAAAATATGAAATATATTAATATTACATTCTATATTACTGTATTCGTAATTAACTTCAAGAAGGAGGAAGTTCTTAATTCGGTTGATTTTTTTACATTTGTTAAGTGGACCTCATAAACTTCTGTCATTTATAAACCGACATGGATTTTTCTTTTTATTTGAAAGTATCTTGCAAATAAAAAACAATACTTTCAGATGGGACCACATATAAATTTAATTAATATTATTTTAGTAGTTTAGTTTTTAAATCAACATAACTAGTTTTGCTACAATTAAAGTTGGTATTTTTTCTGTAGAACAAAATCTTAAATTATGTAGACTTTATGAGTAGTATGAACGCAGGTCTAAATGACGTTGGAATGTTTGTGTAATAGTTGAAGGAAGCTGTGTACTGGTGGTACTATAATTGCAATATTATTACTACTAGACCATTATTTCATAAGAATTTATTTCCTAACTAGTTTTTACCTGCGACTTCGTCCGCGCGACCTATACACATTTCTCACCGGGATTAAAAGTAATTTCTGTCCATTTCAGTGTGCATGTATACGAAATATCCTGACGACTGATTGAGTCGTTAAGATGACAAGAGGAAACAATCAATCTTCGTTCACATTTATAATATAAATAAGGTTTGTTTAATTTTAACATACATATATGTTAGTTTGTACGGTTTTTGTAAGGTCAATAAATATGCACCAAAATTCTTATAATATGCAGATGTTTAAAATAGATATGTTAGTATAGAATTATTAATGTACTAATTAATGTAATAAATATTTTGCACTAGATGATCTAGTAAATTTCATATTACTTACAATGCCATCTATTGACAGTAATCGGAAGTAATAAAATTACTTAGATATTTTTAATTTTTCAGGTAAAAGCTTGGGTTTACAGATTTGCTTTAAACCGCCCCTGTATTATAACGAATAAAACAAAAAAAATATTCAGGGAAAAAATATATTTATAAATCAGTCAAACCATTTTTGAGTTTTAGCGAGTCTAACGAACAGCAATTGATTTATATATATTTATGTATTAAGTATTGATGTATTAATTTCTAATTGTATAACAACATTATAACACTTTTTTACAATAGTTGATTTATTTTAAAGTGCAAGAATTATTAAGCTATCTTTTGTCAATCTTTTTCATCGGTACTTACTGTTTGTATCGGCACAGTGTTTTCCCAGCGTTTCAAAGAGATTTACATTAATGTGAACAAAAAGTATTTATAAAACATTCGACGCGCTTTTACGAATCCAATAAGTATTCAATTCGTAATAAAATTTTGTTTGTATGCCAGTTATTTGCAAATATTTGCAAACATTCATGTGCATAGGTGAACGTTATAATTACATTTAATTAAAATTTTAAAATGTATAAGTATAGACATTGAAGTAATAAAAAAATATTTATATTTATGCAGATGTGAATTATTCAATTTATAATTTCCTTTAAATTAAGCTCTCTTAATCAATAACACACAAATATTTCTAAATACAGATTTAGATAGATTAATAGGTTCAGATTGTGACGTTGATAAATTAAATCAGTCGATCAGTTTCCACCATGGACAATAATAGCCTTGAGGGGCGAAGGGGGCAAATATAAGGGGATCAGGAACTTCGCTGTATCAAATTCGTGTAATACTTGTGCTAGAAGAAATAATTGAATTCGTGGAACAGTCTAGCGGTAATACTCTTAGTACATTCGGTACTTGTGGTAACCTTTATTTTTAAGGTCGGTGTGCGCAAAGATTTGCTGATGAGTGCTAGGTAAATATTCTCAGATAATTCACCACCCATGATAATCTTTATATTTTGGCATGGATGCACGAAACATTTTGCGTCTGATCATAAGGATTACCCCTATGATCAGCGTTGGCCTTACAGCGTTGGCGTAAAATTTTTTTTAAGTGTATATTATTTTTATAGTTTTAATTTCCATGTAATACATTTATTCTGACTCATCTAAGCTTAGTTTATATATGCAATAATACCTTTTAATAATAAGTAATATACCTCTTTAGTGAAAACGTCTGGATGAAACTATTGAACTCGGTCCTGATTTAATATGATTACTTTAAAGATAAATGGTAGAGGTTGCGACGTGTTGATAACATTCTTATCACGGCGCCTGTTTGCACCCTAAGCACGGACCAATTTACATTTTCTTCAATTTAGTGTACACCGTCTGGAATCCCTTATAGATCTTCAATATCAAAGCGATGTATATATATATACTGAGGAAGTAATTGAGATGTTGTGGTAACAACTAACTACCTTCTCGATTAATAGTTTAAGTATTTACTAAATTGTTCCCCTTTGTTCGAAGCTCCGGTCAATATTATTGCCGAAGTTTAAAATTTCTAATTGTTACGAACTCGGAGTGTTCCATTCTGAGTGAGGTAAATTATAATTTTATCACGAACAAGACAACAAGGTAAAGGGTCACCTTTATTAAGATACAAGGTCTTAAAAATTAAAAAACTTTCATCGTACTAAGTTTGAATATATCATAAATGTTAAGTATAATTAAAGACGTTTATTTTTAAGAATTTTGGATATTTCTGAATTTCAAAAAAGGGTAAAAAAATTGAAAGTACGCGTTTGTGTTAGGCGCCAGAAATGATAACGCATAATAGGTTTTAATTGGTGACAAAAAGAAATGTTGTGTCTATGGTGTTGTACATGTCTATAGGCGACAGTTAATACTTTCCAGCAGGTAGGTCGTCAGCTTGTTTGCCATTCTAAGTTGCATAAAAAATGTGTATTAAGACTACTGCTAAACTACACCGGGTGCTAATCTACGTTATGCTATATGGGTAAGGATACCCGTATAGCATAGTTTAGTTTGAGAATCAGATTATTTGTGTAATTGTGTGACAATAAAGTATCATTACATTCTCACAAAGATACACATAGATATTTTATTTATAAATTTTAAAAATTATATTATCTTCAGTTTCTATCTTTACTATTTTGTGTTATATGTTACGAGTATACAGAAAAAAATATGATATAAAAATATAAATGGCTGTATTTATTGGTGACGACGACAAAAATTATTTAAATAAAAATATAATAATAATAATAAATTATTTAAATTATTATGGTAAATTACATTTGTTTTTTATTTTCTTTACAAGAAAACGAAATAGCTCAAAAATTTTACGTTGTATGTATATATAAAGTAAATGAACGATAAAAAATTTAGCAATGATATTGTCTCTAGTGAATATTAGTAATTGTAAGTTATTTGTCACAATATTTGTCAGTTGGTAATATTTTAAACACACGTTGTAATTTTTTCAAACGCATTCACTCAATTTTCAGTGCTCATTTTGGTATTTGATTGCGCATATTAAGTTTTAATTTTACATCGAATACAATATAATGTGAACCATTTACATGTATACAGTTATAATGTTAAGTAAACAAACTAATTCCTTCTAAAAATACATGGGCGTTTCTATAAACAAGTCAAGGTCTGGTGTTGATTAAGATTACTTATTAATACATTGGGAGTAGGTACACGCATTACCATCGCTCTTGCTGTAGGTACTTGTGAATTTTCGTCATCTTAACAGGGTTAGCGGAATTAATTCAAATTTACTGTAAGTACAAATAATACGAGTATAATACTATACTATAAGTGATACCTACCGACTTCAGAAACTGGAAGGACTTAGTTCGATTGTATTTTATTGCGTGTGTATGTTGCAATAGGTATATCTTTATTAATGGTTAATGGCGTTCTTACAGAACTAGACTTATATAGTTGAATGTGTGAAACTAATATCACGAAATGTACGGGACAGAATCGTTGAAAACAGGAAGCCGGCATGGTGCGGTCAATCGTTGAGAGTCAATAATTCTCTTTTCGGTTGATCGTACTCATCGACAATATTGTCTCTGTGCTCGCTCATGCGATAATGTGGTCACATATCGTGCTATAATAAAAAAAAAACTATTAAGTACTACTATTCGGCCGAAAATTTGGACGTTTAACTTTTTTTAACGTTCAAGGTAATTTTTTAATTACCTTGGACGTTCTCCTAAATGACGAAAGAATTGCAATAGTAAAATGAAGTAAAATTTCTAGGGGTACAGATCGACTCAGCATTGAACTGGAAAAGTAAATTGCAATCCATCGGTAATAGTGTTAGTTCATCGTGCTATGCTTTAAGGAGTTTAAGGGATCTGTAGTTAACAGATCAACTTAAATCAGTATATTACTCGTTAGTAGAATCAAAATTTAGATATAGTTTTCAATTATGAAGAAACAGCTACAATTATAATAAAGAAAGGGCTTTTAGACTATAAAAAAGGCAATAAGAATAATTGCTCGTATTCGGCAGTGGGAGTCTTGCAGGGACTTTTTTAAAAAGTATCGCATACTCACAGTGCCCAGTCTATACGTATTGATTGTTGTAGTAAATTTTGTTAAAAATCTACCCAGATGTGAAACGACACAAGAAAGGGAATTGCGTACAAGTTCTAGACGTAAAGACATTATGAGTGACATACAACCAAGATTAAACGTAGTTATACATGGAGCGCAATTTCAGGGAAGGAAGTTGTATAACAAATTACCAATTGATCTGAAAACTATCCAAAATTGGAGAATATTAAAAATCAAACGCCATGCCTTTCTATTAGAAAAATGTATTTATAAAATAAATGAATTTTAGAGATATATTAATTGTGAGTTGTGTATAGTGACTAGTTTTTTTCTTCACTGAAATTTTTATTATTATTAATTCAGTATTTGTATGTGGCATTGTTTATATGTAAAATTGTTGCGTGTTTGTGATTTTGCAGTTGTACAGTATAAAACTCCTATCATTGAATTGAATTGAATTTAATTAATAAAATAATATGGATCGTAACGAAAATAAGTGGAAAAAAATATAGCACTTAAAATATCCTTGCATACCTAGTGTGTAATTCACAGAAATAATTATTTATATAAAAGTGTCTTAAGCGAATAATTATTATTTTTGTTTTATTTGTTAAAGATGTATTTATCATTGGCTGATTCTGTGAGCACAGCTTGTGGAAAGTTTATCTGATATCTGAACATGTTGCACATTAATGTACTAACTTGAATATTATGTTTTTATTTTTATACATTTTATGTTTCAATTTATGTAATTTCTGTTATGTACGCCAAATAAATAAAGTTTCATTGCTTGACGTAGATTTTACGACGCAGAGACATTTTATAATATTAGACATGCGTTTGGATGATAAACGTAGGTACTCGTAAGTAGTAACATAATAGATACGGAAAGCATAACAGTGGGGTCGATTGTGAGGACCAATTTTTTCAAACGTATCACAAATTAATACATATTTTAATGTTTTTTTTTTTTAAACCACTGAGGCTGCAAGCAAGCATACAGCCCAACTGACGGTACGTAGTTACCATAGCTTATGAACGCCTGCTTGGAGCATTACAAGTGCGTTGTCGACCCTTAAGAAAGAACGCTATACTATAGTCTTTTAGAAAAACCTCGACAGTTATTGTTATAATTTGATAGTTTCACAAAATAAATTGTTAGTACTGCGTCGGCGATTCTGCTGTTGTCGTTAGTGTCGATCGACTAGGGATAATTACTTACCATCAGGTGAAACGCTTGTCGAGAAAAAGATTAATTTTTGGACCACAAAAAAAATTATGGGCCATCAAAAACTAAATTTATAATAAGTGTGTCTTAAATGTATTAGAAATTTAATTTATTTTATTTTTAGAATAATCATTTCGCTGTAATATTAAGTTGAAATTTTAATTTTAAAATAGGATTAGAGAAATGGTCAATTAGAATGGACGCCATTATTTTAGGGTATTATTCAGCTAAAAATAATATTTGTAAGTATCGTATATTCGTTGTTGATAGATAATGTGATTAAATAAATTTTATGATTCCATTATTAATCGCCAATGTGGATTAAAAATAAATCCACTCTGTACTTCAGAAGGCACGTTGAGCCCTTGCGTTTGTCGCAGCTTTAATTACTTGATGTTTATAAGAATCGAATTCATAGACATTGAATTACGCAGATGTCGCAATCAAATGTAAGTACTGTTCCTGTCAATTTTGGTTCTATAAGTTTCGTAGTATAAAAAAGTTCGTTACTTAGATCACATAGATATAGGCTTCTTAATAAAATTGGTTATACGAACATGACCGTGTGGTCCCGCCATAGAATGGGCTACCCCTTTCTTTTCCGTGGGTGTAGTGGAGGCGACTAAGGGAACGTTAAGGAATGTGCAGCAGCGTTCCTCTTAAAACATCACAATTTATTACGCAATGTTGATATACTTATATACCTACTTGAACCACTTATTATTACCTACGTTCTTATACCAACGAATAAGTAAAGCAAACCGTACTGATGCGAAATTAATTATAAACGTCG